TAGTTTCTCACTTTGCACCACAAATCTTCAACTTTGCATTCTAATTTCACAATTTGCACCACGACTCCGCCACTTTGCATTATAGTTTCACACTTTGCACCACTACTTCACCAATTTGCACTCTAATTTCTCACTTCTCACTTGCTGCTATTCCACTGCTTTGCACTGTAATACCACAATTTGCAACACAACTTGTACTCCAGGCTCGCATTTTGCACCACTAATCTACATCTATTCACTCTAATTTCGCCCTTTTTACCACTATTTCTCCACTTTGCACTACAGTTTCCTATTTTTCATTACTATTCTACAAATTTGCACACTAGTATCACACTTTGCACCACTGATCTACCTCTTTGCACTCTAGTTTCGACTTTTGCACCACTTTTTCAATATTTTGCACCACTATTCTTTTACTTTGCACTCTAATTTCTTAGTTAGCGCTGCTATTACTGCTATTACACTGCAGTGTCACATTTTGCAACACTACTCCACACTTTGCACCACTTTTCGACAACTTTGCTCCTTAGCTTCGCTCTTTGCACCCCCGTGCACGATTCTGCACTCTAGTTCCAAACTTTGCACCATTTCTCCACCACTTTTCACCGTAATTTCTCACTTTGCACCACTATTTCCACCACATTGATTGCACTTCATTTTTCCCCTTTGCGTCACTCTATTTCGCTACTTTTAATGGCTCTCATATAAACAAATATGGCGACTTTGAGTGTTGGGCAGATCAACGAGTACAAACTGAGACGTTACAAAGCTTTAATTAGGTATTTTTAGGTGATTGGAAGGTATCGAAAGAGTCACTTGCACCTAGGTTAAACCTCATACTTCTGATTTCCATTACAAGAGTGCATTGGGTTGAGAGAATATCAATGTTTATCAACACAAATGTCGCAAATACACAGCGTGACGACTGTCGCCTTTTAAACAGATGTCTCATAGTCAATGGGTGAATAGTAGCTCTTTGGAATTAAGTTGAGTAGTGGCTGACTAAACAGGCACAGATACATACTAATCCATCAACTACTACTACTACTACTACTACTGGACTAGGGTGGATGTACTGATAAACTATGTAGATACATTGAAGCAGGTGAAAAAATATTATACCCCCCCCCCCATATAACCAATTACTTAACCAAGTGGGGCTTCTCAGAATTATCAATTCCAGATGTAACAATTTATCAGTAACTAATACTCTGCTTTTAATACTATGCTGCTGTCAGTTTCAAAAAAGCCGACCATATTAATTGTGTTGAAAAGAATAATTCTTGAGTTGATTTTTGTCTTTCCCATCTCTTTAGGTCAAACAAAGGATTAGGGTCGTGCAATACATATGTCAAAAGAACCAGGTAGATTGGAAACAAATAACAAAGTGCCAAGAAAAGTCACTCGGAAGTACACATTCAACAGCTGGTTCCAGTAGGGGTGTGATCCACAACGTTGACTTGTGGTGACCACTGACAATGATTTATACACTATACCAAACGGCATTTCATTTTGTGCAATTCAAAGCTGCACACTGCCTCCTGAGAACATGCGTTCCTATATGCATCTTTGACAAAAGGAGGAATACTGAGCAATCCCTTCTTAATATTAGACGAGTACAGTCCCTCAACTTGCAAAGTGGATTCTAGCTGAGAACACTTCATACCTTTCTTGCAATGACGTCCAAAACGAATTAGTAAATAAACTTCTGTACATTATTTGACGTAAATGATACACCGTATATACCGTCACAGTTTGGTAATGTAAATGATGCATGTTATACTGATGTGCACAATAAATCATAGTACTTACGAAGCTTTCAAATTCACAACCTGTTTGGACAAGAACATGGGCAATCTGATTTTATCTGTCATACCAGTAAAACAAATTCTCAGGTCAAGGGTTAGCAACGGATTATATATCACATTATTTCAACATTGATCAATAAATTAATCACCAACAAATAGTGGTAGAACTAGGAATGATGACATAAACAATAGCTTTGTGTCAATAACATACCGATAAAACGGCATAAAGTGCATCCATAATACACACAAAGAATGAGAACCACAGCTGATAACTGATATTTATTACATACAAAATAGTATTTGACAATATACAACATAAAGTAGATAGTAAAATGTGCTGCACAGTATACAATATTGTCCTCATCCAAAAGGATATCACAATCCAATAAATATCCTCAAGTAACGAAAACATAAGCCATGATTAGATCATGATGAAGTTAAAATGAGACAAACATGTATCCAAAATAAAATTTTGATATGGATTCAAATGACTTGCTTTACAAATATATATGCAGATTAATTTATAGAATTGTTGTTAAGAGATGTACATTGGAAAGTACTAAATGTTACTATTTTAAATTGAAATTACGTTCATTATCATTTAAAACCAAGCATCTATTAATTATTTAATAAGCAAATGCCGACTTATGGTGCTGTCTAAATCTTGTGTACACTTGTATCCTGTTGTTGGAATAATATGGTTTACTAATCAACTATATCTGTCTGATTATTTGTTCTATATCCCCTTCCCACTTTATGTGTCCATCTGTTCACAGCTCTTCGCTGGCAAACTACAATTCATACAATATTGTAATGGTTAGAATTTGGCATGCAAATAGTTTAAAGTACTAAGTATGTTTTAGCATTACTGACAAACATTTAAGAACCGTTCGCAGATCATAATATCGGTTTTACATAGAATGCTGACACACACTGTAGTCTGGTTGTTACAGTACTATCTCAATTGAGAAATGAATATTTACCAATCCATATAAACCTGAAAACTAGATTGTCAATCATAAGCATTTTTAGAATTATGGCACATGAGGAAATTCCACATTTAACTGTTGCTATAGTGATTAACCTTGGATTGGTAATACTTCGGATTATGATATGTAAGATAGATATATAGTTAGAAACAAATTGGGTAAAATCGAAATCATACAATATAATGCATGTAATGAATGCATGATGTTACGTTGAATCAATACAATCTTCAAATATAAGTATCTTGGTTATATAGGTTAATTAAGATACAACACAGGAAAACAATCTGTACAAGTAAGTACACATGCACACAACCAAACAATGTACTGAGGCGGCGGCACTAATTTTCCCGGGGGGGGGAGAGAACTGCTCAATTTTGAAATCTAGACCCTCTGAATGTTGACATAGAAAGGTTTCAGCTTGATTTGGGGGACCCCCCCCCCATGCTGCCGCCACTCATGTTTATTAAATATATAATTCTGAATATACATGAAATATAGAAACATCAAAGCTCATTCATTGCTATATCTACAAAGTTAGACCAGATATTAGATTATATAAGTAAAATGTGTATAGTTATATTACTGTAATAACATAAACAACTTCAGCTTCATCAATTAAAAATGTTTTCCCTGGAGTTACTGCAGAATAAGGCGACATTGATTTGTCTAGGGGATACAAGAAAAAATATGTAAACTTTAACTGATGACACATAAAGAACAAGCCATGCATGTCAGAGTCCCTGTTAATTATCAAATTTAAGATATATAGTTTTGTTTATGGTAATATAGTTGGAACATGTCAGAAGTATGGATCCAGAAGAAGATGCTTGATAATGATGATTTTTTAACATTAAAATGATTGACATCTTGTATCAGACCGTCAAACGAGTAGTTGTCCATATTAAGAAATATGCCCGAGAACAGCATTAATTAAAACAAAATAGCCACAAGTCGGCCATTTTGAATAAATCTATATCTCTATAACATATTCAGTCAAAGCATATTGGAGATATGGCACTAGAACTGCATTCATTAAAACAAAATGACCACCAGTCGGCCATTTTAAGTTGGATTTGAAAAATAAAATGATGTGCATGAAGGTCCCATAATTATGCACCAAGTTTAAACAAAATC